AAAAAATCTATAGAAAAAAGTTGTTTTAATATTGAAAAACCTTATAATTGCAAATTTTGGCTTAAGACAATAGCAAATTGAGGAGACATGACCTTTTTACTCTTTACTATTTTTGGTAATTATAATCTCATAAATTTGGGCACCTCTTCATTAAACTTCGCTCCTTGAATTGACTTTAAACCTATAAACATTTTATATTGATTAGAAGAGGACCTAGTGACAAATGTTTGTTAAAAGAAAAAACCTCTACATGGATTATCAGTCATATGCCGGGACGTGAGAAGAAGTCATGCGACTGTTGCACAAGAACTTGTTGCAAACCCCACAATTTTGGCCTCAATTTGATGTTGATTCGAGTGGAAAATCCCCTTAATTTGTATACGAATAGAAAGCTCATTAATCAAAAATCAACATACTAAATTTTTAGCTCATTTGGCATAGGGATCTCGAGTTATGGCTCAGTCTTTGAGGCCAGGAAATTTCGTTGGCTGCTACAATCCTTACGAAAATGATGATCCACAGGCACAAGATGGTCCATTTCTTTTATTTGTGGTCCCCTTTTTGTATGCTAAAGATCACTTCTAGATATCATATTTCGTTAAATTTTTGCCAACAGCTTTTCTCATTATCAAATTATTCTAAAAACAATATTGGAGTTTATCGGCTGCTGATTTATTGGCTTTCTTTTGTAAAGTCGGGCCGATTTAGGTGGATCTCTTTCATCCGGTATCAAATTGGGCTCAAATTTGGAATGTAGTTTTTTTATATTTGATGATTTCATTCATGAAGTTCTTGAGCCATTTAGTTTTGGATATCTGCAGGAGTCTTTGTAAATTGGCCTTGAATTTTGGAACTGGGCTCTGCGGCATCTTGGATTAAAAACCCACTGGTCATATTATAATTTGGATCTATTTTGACCCAAGTTTGATGGTGCCTTATTCTTGAGCATACGATTACTGATACGGAAATGATTGGACTCAGATTTTTTTCGTTTTTAGTACGGAGATTCCTTTCCTCATATTAAAGGGATTTTCAGATTTTGATTTATCATGCTACTGTTTTTCACTAACAGTAGCCATTTCCAGTGGTTCCTTAGAATTCTAGCAGTTATATTGTCGATAATTTATTTGGCCAGACGTCACCACCAAAATACTCCAAAACGCTTATGTTAGGCCCATTTGTTCCTTTCCAATTTATCATGTTCTTCAATGTTTTCAAGTAGTGCTTTTCCTTTACCCTTCACATTGTAGTAAGACAATTTCACCTATTTCCATCTCCATGTAAGGGAATGGTTTAAATGATGCCTTATTCAAATGTGACCCCCTTCCGAAATCTTTTAGGGCTTGTTTGGCTCATTGGATTCAGTTTTTTAGGAGATTTTTTCTGAAAAAGCTAGGCCAATCATGTTTGGTTAGCCTAGAATCGACATTTTCGTTGGAATTGAGATTTTTGTAGAAGGATTTCTTAATGCTCATCTTTAGCCTAAAATTTGGAAATCTCAATTCCACCAAAATAGGTGGAATTGACATTTTATGAATATGATCCATTTTGTTCCTGAGGAACAAAAAAATATTAAAATTTTAGAGAGGGAAAACATATTAGAATTCTAGAAAGGGAAACTATATTAAATTTTAGAGAGAGAAAGTATACAAAAATTTTTAGAGAGAGAAAATCTACAATTATTTAGAGAGAGAAACTATATCAAATTTTTAGAGAGAAGCTATCTTAAATTTAAAATTTTAAGGAGACCATATTAAAATTTTAGAGATATAAACTATCTCAAATCTTAAAATTTTAGATAGAGAACTTCA